CAAAATAAAAACGTCTCCATCCTTCCTAAAAATATTCAAATAAAAAACAAACAACATAAAATCCTAATAGAAATAATTTCTAATCAAACTAACCATTGTATTATCATAGAATTGTGTTGGTACACCAGTTTGTTTAACTATTAATTTTGTTTGTTCTACATCATCTTGAAATATTAATGAAACATGTGAAAAATGTTCTTTCGGCCATGATTTAAAACGCCATAACATATCAATACGATCATAAGGTATAATCTCAAGAAAATTTCCAGTTATATTATCACCAAATAATGCAAATTGTCCACCTTGTTGACAGTCATATTGTGACACACTATTTTGTGTAAATGCTCTTACCATATTAATATCTGTAAATGTTTGAAATAATTCTGATCGTTGACATTTAAATGTATCTTCAACAGTTAATTCTCGTGTGTCAAACGATGTTTGATTAGTTGATGATTGAGTATTTGAAGAAGATTTTGAAGTAGTTGCATTACTTGAATTTACAGATGATGATGATACTATTTTACTGTTACTTGCAGTTGACGAATTTTTTGTCGGTAAAATTAAACCTTGAGAAAATTCTTCTTTAAGTAAACGAACATATTCGCCAAGTTTTTCACGTATTATAGGTTCACCTCGTTGTTTCATCATTTCTTTAATTTTATCACCTTTAGATTTCTCAATTGAAAATGTTATATTAACTTCATGTATTTCATTCTCATCCGATAAATTAGGAACTTCAAATGCACCTTCGAATTTTGTTCGATTTTCACCTGTACGAATTTGTCCTTCCCATTTACCTTCGATATGCCATTCATACTAAAATTATAAATTGAAATTTTATTGGATATATTAATATTTAACTTACAAGAAAAACAAGTTTTGCTTTTCGATTATTTGCTGATGCTTCACCGTCACATCTTTTTAATTCTTTTACTTCAACTATAAACTGTTCATCTTCAACTTTAAGACCTACTAATAATTCATTCAATTTATCTTTTGACCATTGTGTTGCATTCTTTTCTTTCCAATGCCAATTATTTGGATTTGTAGCTAGAAAGAAAAAGAAATATTTTCTAAATTTTTGAGAATCTTTTCTTGATTTTACCATCAGGACGTTCTTCTACAATCCAACGTGGATCACCTTTTCCCCATTCAGCCATGAGTATTTAAGTCTAATTTATATATAAAATAAATAATGTATAGAAATCTTTCAATGAAACTTTTTTAAGTTGAATAATTCTACAATCCGCCGGCCAAGTTGTATGAATAGAAATGACTTCACTTTCTTTTACGTGATTCGTTTTTACAAGCCAATAGATGACTAACACGATTGGTTTTATGTATGGCCAATACAATAGCGCACTTTATAATTTCACTTATTCGTTACCTGCCGACTAATCATATTTACTAACTTACTTTCAAGAACCTCAATAATATATATCATCAAAAATCTTAAAAATCAATCTTCACGATATGTTTCATATTTATAAACTTTCTGCCCTTCTACAACGATAGAATATAGTGACAAAAGCTGAGCTTTGTATTTAAATCACTTTATAATATTTTTACAAATTCTTTAAGATCATACACAAACTACGTGCAAATATGAAAAATGTATATAAAATGATAATATCAGTTGTAATTGATTCGAAGACACTCATTGATCAATAAAATCAAACGTGTATCTATTGAATAATATAGTCTATCTTCTGGAAGACTTAATAATGAATTTTTCTGAATACTGAAATTGAGAAGACATTCTTTTGTATGTAATCGTTTTCATAAACTACGTACTTGAGATAACTCAATTAAAATTTAAATAGTTTGCAAGACGGAATTATGAGAAGGTTCCCAAAAAATCTTGTTGACATACTCCTCAATAAAGATTAAGAATAAGCATTTTATTATCTTTCTGACTCATTATTTATCATCAATTGTAGTTTTAGTTATAAAATATTTATTAAAAGAAGATGGTGTCTAGCTTTTACTTTCTTTTTTAATTATCTCAAATTAACAATAATATTTATTGTTGGTGGTTTCTATAAGTGAACCGATTCTCTTATCCACAATCCAAAAATGCATAGTATTTGAAATGTACTGAAATTTGAGCTATCTCGTTATTCATGTATATAGAAGAAGTGGAAAAGTAGACATGACGCAATTCATTACTGCGAGAAATCTGTCAGTATTTGTCAACATATTTCTAAATAAAATTGTCAATTGATTGTTTACTTTTAGTTCTGATCTGTTATCTTTAATTAGCTGACTAAAAGTAATGATCATTTATTTTTAGTATATTTATTCAATTATCTCGAAACATGAAATTATGTCGGATAAAAGATGAAGTTTAAATCGTTAAAATGAACTTGAAGGTATGATTTTCTGTATATTATCACATTTGAAAGAGTTTTTAACCATTTACCGTTCTCTAGATCATTGCTACATAAAGTATATATTTTGTTCCAGCAAAAAACATGAAAAGTATGAAGGATTACATAAAAATAAGTCTTAGTCATTATATTATGATTGGCTAGGGTGAAATGAAATATAACATCATAATTAATGACAAAAATTCATTTATTTCAGCAATGCTTTTAATCAAAAGGTAGGAATTAATAAACTGCTTGAGAAAGATCTACTTTACGTAGCTAGAATTTATTCTCACAAACCCCGGATTGTCAACTCGTACATCCGGTAGCTCTGTATTAGAAAAGTGTAAATATCACATTGACGAGTTAACATTAGTGTGTATGAAATGTCTTTTATCGCTTTATTCTGCATAATACAACTGGATAAATGTTGGATTTTCCAAGATTATTATCATTTTAAAAAGTAAGTCTTTTTTGGACTAGCAGAGAACGTTGTCAATCAATACTAAAGAATATAAAATCCATATTTTATAATTTCTTTTTCTTTTCTGTCGCCTTTATCTATGAGTAATACATTTATCAATAAACGTTTTTTTTGCGTATAAATAGCGTTTCATCTGTGAGTCAAGGTGATTGTTCGTTTATGAATATATAATCTAAGAATCGCTACGTATATTTGTAAGAATGTCTTCAAAACTGATCGATATGCAACAAAGTGAGTATCAACAATTGTATTCACGACATCAAACAACTAGACGAGAACATCAAAGAGAGCTGATTGGACCACTACAACAGTTAAATACTAACGTACAGCAATCGTTAATAGATGCTAAAAACGCCTATGAAAAAGCAAAAGAAAGTTATCATCATGAATTTAATGTATTAAAACGTGTTTTTACTCATACAGCTTCTGAACATGAAACACAATTAGTTACACCTTTAAAAGAAATTTATCATCAAGAAAAAGATCTAGCTAACAAAGTTGTTAAACTACTCGATGACACAACACTTGAAACATCTCCTCTCGAAACACGTGAATATTGGAATGGATCTATCGCTGTTGTATACAACCCAATAACTGGTCGCGCTGAATGGAAAAAATATTGGCATGGTGGATGTCATGGTGTATTCAACCCATTAACAGGTATTATTGAATGGAAAGAGATATACCATCATGGTGTTTATGGGGTCTTCAACCCTCGATTGAATACAATTGAATGGAATCAAAATTTCAATGGAGGTATACACGGGGTTTACAATCCAACAACAGGTATCGTTGAATGGAAATCAGCATTTCATGCGGGCGTGGGTGGCGCCTATAATTCTCTGACAAGACAAGTTGAATGGAAAACATGTTTCCATGGTAGTGTTGTCGGTTATTACGATGAACAAACACAAACAGTTAAATGGATAGAAAAATGGCATCATGGTCTTGCTCTTATTTTATGGAATGCAAGTACTAAAACATATTCAACAACTGCCAGCTGTGGCTGGTTTGATAATGAATAATGACAAAAACATATGTTATTTTCTTTGTAATGTTTATTTTATTGATCACTCATTTTTCTTTCTTTGATTCAACTATAATTATAATACGAAATTGGAAAAGAGATTTTCTTGTTTTTCATCTGGAAAATTTCAGTGTTGATAATGTTATTCAATTTCTTGTATCAACAATATTAGACTTCATACCAAGTTAGACTAAATTTTGACGCACTCCGAAATACGACATTCTTATTATTTTCTCATGCAAACCAAACTACAGATATGTGAATCCAAAACTGATTGAAACGGTATAGTAGATTGGTATCAACTCGAAATCAAATGCTCGAATGAGATTTCACTGAACTATATCATTCGAAAACTGATTGAAAATCACAAGCGACATATATGAGATACATTATTTGGATTTGAAAAAGAAAAAATATGTTATGTTATCACAGCTGAATTAATATTGATTATAATGTTTCACAAATTGTATTTTTCAGAAATGGTAACTCTATTATTGTTTCCATCATAACCACCAGTAGTTAATACAAAATTATTTAATAAAACACTTTGATGATAATTTCTTCCATGATTTAACATAGTTGTATTTGACCAAGTTCTTGTTACAGGATCATACAATTCACATACGAGCGGATATGTACCGGATGTCCAATCAGCACCACCAGTTGCTAATACTTTACCTGATGGTAGAAGTGTAAGTGTTAATGCTCCTCGACGATATTGCATTGATCCAACAGCTGTAAACTTTCGTGATGTTGCATTATAAATCTCAGCAGTTGAATATGCAGTTGCTCCACCGGTACCTCCACCGACAATTAATACAGTTCCATCATTTAATAATACAGCAGCATGAAAACCTCGAATTTGAGTCATACCACTAGGCAAGAGAATCCAAGAGCCATTAATATAAAGTTCTGCTGTTGACATGGGATAACTACTAGTATTAACACCACCCGTGACAAGTACAGTTGATCCATCACTAAGAAGTGTACTTGTAAAATAAGCTCGTGCTATATTCATATTAGTTGTGTTAATAAATGAGTTTGATGATGGAATATAAAGTTCAGCTGCAGATACACTTATATGTGAAAGACTCCATCCACCTGTAATGAGTATTTGTCCATTAGTAAGTAGTGTAGCTGTGTGTGAGTCACGAGTACTTGACATATTGTTTGCTGTTAAGGTCCATGTATTGTTTACAATGTTATATACTTCGGCAGTTTGTACACCGGCTGTAGTGTCACCACCAGCAACTAATACTTTAGTATTATTTGCAAAAGCAGTAACAGTGTGAGTAGCACGTGCAAATTTCATCGAAGTTACAGGGTGCCATCCGGTTGATGTATAAACTTCAGTCCGGGGAGTTACTGTAGTGGAATTAACATAACCTCCAGCTACAAGAACTTGTCCATTTGCTAATAATGCACTTCCAAACTTAGCTCGTCCAGTGTTAAGCGGTATATCTATGTTCCAAAAGACTAATTGAGTAGAAGTCGATGTTTGAATGTTGTTATCTGTAAATATAAAATAATCTTATTCATTTCTTTTTCTTTCTGATAAGAAACATAGGTTAAATCTCATGTCTTGAGATAATGCTCTTAGCAGATAATCAGTATTCATTTTTGTATACATGATAAATAAACATTTCATCAAATTATATTCAAATTGATGACTGAACGATTTTTAATAAATTTTCTTTAATTCTATTTACACATGTTGTATATAATAATCTTTCTCAATGACTTACTCATCATTGTGCTAGTGATTTTCACGGATGATGGAATATTTGTAACTTGCGTGCTGGCTATTCCCATTGCTAAAAATTAATAAATACTGCTTTATTATATCTTGTTTATAATTAAGATACGTACTTGTTGACATATCTGTTGTTACTGTTGTTGTTGTTACGCCTACAAAGTAAAACAAATGATAAGCAAAACCAAAATTGTATGAATTCTCAATAGTCTCATATGTTATATATAGGAATAAAACTAAAATTTTCATTTATTGATAAAATATCTTATGTATAAGCTAAATGCACATTAGATTTACTCATTTCCACTTCATGTAAAGAGGTTAATTTAATCATCATCTCTTATGTTCTCATTGTCGTAGTCATTTTTATGAAAACTATACAAAGTGATTTAATACATACAGACTTCTTAATAAGTATACAACTTTTATCTTATTTAGAAAATTGTTTAGCTATAAGAGAATTTTTACGGTACTCTGCTGTATATAATAATTGCAAGATGTTGACTTACAGTAGCCATTGCTGAGTTTCTACTGTTGTCACTCAAACTAATAAAATTCAAGCATCTTTTTGTATAGTCTGAAAAAACAGTCTTGTGTCATTTCTTCTCAAAAATTCTACTTTACCTATTGTAACAGCTGCAGGTGTTGTTTGAACTGTAGTCGAAACCATTGTCGTTGATAACGATTCAGATTGATCAGTTGTCACTGTTGTTGATGCATATTCAGAATTCCCTGTTGTCATAGTTTGGGATAATACATCGTTATTACTTGATATCATAGTTGTTCCTGATGGCTTAGTATTCTGTGTAGCTATAGTTACCGACGAGTATTGAAGATCACTTTCTGTTGTCGATGTTGATAACACTACCGAACTATCTGTTATCAAAGATGCTGATGAAAACTGAGAAGTACTCGCTACCAAATGTGTCGATGACAAAACTGAAATATCAGTTGTCAACGATTCTAATGTGAGCTGAGAACTACTCGTTTCCATAAGTCTTGATGATAATGCTGCGCTAACTGCTGTCGAAGATTCTGACGTTAACTGAGAACTGCTTGTTGTCATAGCTAACGCTGACCCTCCTAAACTATCTATTGTTGATGATTCTGATTTTACCATTGAACTAACTGTTGTTGAAAATTCTTGCATGAACTGAGAACTCTGTGTCGCGATAGATATAGATGGTGATACTGAACTCTCTGTTGTCAAAGATTCTGATGTTGATTGAGAGCTACTCATTGCCATCGGTGTCGAGGCTACCATCGAACTGAGTCTTCTCCAGGATCCTGATGTAAATTGAGAACTACTTCCTCGCATTGACATTAATGGTGATACTGAATTGACTATTGTTGAAGATTCTGAGGTAAACTGAGAACTATCTTTTCTCATATCTGCTGATGATAATGTTGAACTATCTATTGTCAGAGATTCTGATATGAACTGATAACTACTTATTGTTGTAGGTGTCGATAATAATCCAGAACTACCTATTGTGGATGATTCTGACGCTAACTTATAACTACTTGTTGTCTTAATTATCGATGATACTATTGAACTATCTACGGTCGAAGATTCCGGCCCTGGCTGAGTACTGCTTGTTATAAAAGATATTGATGCTGACACGGAACTATCTGTTGTTAAAGATTCTGGTGTTAACTCAGCACTAATTGTTGTCGTAGGTGTCGATGCCATTGTTGAGCTATCTGTTGTCGAAGATTCTGAAGTCAGCTGGGTACTGTCTATGATCACAGATACTGATGTTGATACGGAACTGTCTACTATGAAAGATTCGGGTGTTAACGAACTACTGATGATTGCCGTAGGTGTCGATGGCATTCCTGAACTATCTATTATCGAAGATTCTGAGGTGAACTGATTACTACTTGTTGTCATAACTATCGATGATAATAATGAACTATATGTTGCCGACGACTCCGACGTCATTTGAGTACTGTCTGTCATCAAAGATATTGATGCTGATACAGAACTGTCTGTTCTTAAAGATTCGGGTGTTAGTTCAGCACTAATCGTTGTCATAGATGTCGATGATATTACTGAGCTATCTATTGTTGAAGATTTTGACGTGAATTGAGAATTACCTGTTGTGATAGGTATCGGTGTCAATACTAAACTATTTATTGTCGATGGTTGTGATGTTAACTGAGAACTACTTGCCATCATTATCGTTAATGGTAAGACTGACTTATCTATTCTCAAAGATTCTGATATGAACTGAGAAGTACTTGTTGCCGTAGGCATCGATGACAATGAGGAACTATCTCTTATTGAAGATGCTAAAGGAAACTGAGAACTAGTTATTGTCGTCATTTTCGAAGCTGACTCAGATATGTCTAATTTTATAGTTGTCGATAATGATTCGGGGCTAGACAGTGCTACTGTTTCTAATAGATATGTTGGGAGATTTATTGTCACGGTTACTAATGGAGATTGGAAAGTAGGAACAGTCATTTTTGTCGATAAGAATTGAGGATTACTCGTAGTTACTATAGGCAGTGAGGAATCGAAAGTCTCAGCTGTCACATCGCTCAATGAAGTTTGAAGAGTACTTCTCATCAAAATTGTAGATAATAACTTAGAATTGTCTGTAGTAGTCATTTCATCCACTAGTGACTTCCAGTCTAACAAAGAAATATTTCATATATTCATTCTATTTCAATTATTAGATATACCTGTAAGTGATGTGGAAGATGCAGTTGTTGTGTCACCTAAAAGAAAGATTACAAAAAAACAAGTTGGAATGTTAAGTCCCTCTTATTTTTGAAACTTTATTCTATTGAAATGAATAATATGATTTGAACCTAGATATTAATACTAATACTCCTACAATATGTTAGTCATAGTAAAAATACTGGGGATTATTGAGATGTCCTTCGAAAGAAATCTAAGCTATTATGTTGTTCAACAATATAAAAGAAAATTTGCACTTTGAACTATAAAGACAACCATTTTTTATAAACAATTCACTCTTTGTAATATTCTTTAACTCCATATTAATTTCTACAATACCTATTCTTCCAGCAGTGTTCTGCTCTGTACCTAACAAATAATATTTTTTCATTTCTTTTTTTTATTATTTCAAAATGATTTTACTTGTTATTCCATCTAGAAAATAAAAATCTATTAGTAATAAAATTCTGAATAATACTCTGAAAAACTACCTTGTTTGTTTGTCATTGTTAGTTGAGTTATATCAGTTGTTCTCAATTCTTGCTTTGTACTGCTCGCCAACGTTGTATAAAGATTAGATTTCATTGTGCCTGACAAAAAATATTATCCAAATTATTCATTCTGTTTATTACTAAAGATATACTTGTCATGAATAGTGATGTTTGAGCTAAATTAAATAAATATCGAATTTAATATTTTCCTTCTATAGAAACTGACTTACCATTGCCAGATGTTGTTATCTTTTGTCCTGTAATATCTATATATGTTGTTTGAAAAGTAGATTGTACGGTATCTAAAAATAAAAATAAACAATAATATTGAAATAAAATAATGAATAGTCTTACTTGGAATATTTTTTGTTGAGTCAGCTACCAATGTATCTAAAATAAATAATTAGTAATTATCTCATATAAAAACTATCTTACATGTCGATATACTAGACATCGAGTCTTTTACTGAGTATGATGTACTTGTTGCTGGGTTGTTTAATTGATCTAAAAAAGTAAATTATCTCATTTCTACAACTTTATTTACCAATATTTACTTGTTGAACCAGGTTTTGAAGTAAAACCATTTGTTAATTGATGATTATTATTATCATCATCACCTACATTAATAAATAAATCTTTATAGAACTATAAAACAAAATTCAAACTGACTATTTGAAATTGTAATGACAGCAATAATAGTTGTATCTAATATACTAATTGGTACAACTTCTTGTTTTTTAGAATGATATTTAAAGTAAACAGCAAGTGGTATCACGATTGTTAATATAATAACGACAAGAAGACACAAAATACATAGGCGTTGTTTCATTGTTGTAAGAAAATCTTTGTATCTTCTTCTTTATTTTTATGAAAATATAGTTGTATTATATAGACCAGTGTTGGTGTTTAAAAAAATGAGAAATTCATAATATTCCATTTGTTTTATACAGCATTAAATGAATAAAAATGAAAGTGCCTAGTGACGCAGTTTGTTTAAAAGCCATATGGTTAGTAAGAATCCAACTATAAGAGGTGACTCAATATTTATTTCAAAAAAAGTACGTTTATAAAAAGTGCGCATGATATTTAATACTGTCATATGGTAAACAGCGACTGAAGAGTTTTTATATACGAATCAATATAATAGTCAAATGAAAATAAGCAAACATATTTTTCTCTGTTGTTCAGCTGTTAAAATATAAAACAAGAGAGTTATTTTCCCAACAAGATGGGTTTTATATTTTGTTGTGTTGATTAATACTTGATTTGTTATAACTAAATACTGAAATATTTCAGTTTTAACTTATTGAAAAAAAATATACTCATGTATTTTGTAAAGACTTTTATTTTGATTGAATGATTTTTTAGAAAATATCAAAATGTTAATTATTTCAAGATTAGATATTCCAAATAACTTATTCAAACGACAAACAAATATCAGTATAGAATATATATTTTCACTTCAGTTTATTAGAATAATCAAGAAAATATTCTATTGAAATAAAAAACAAATACTAAATAATATTATTTTGAATTATCTTAAAATGAATACATATAGATTTCAACTTTTTCAATTTTTATTCATTATTTAAGAACTATTTTCTTACCATTAGATATATTTCTTTAATAAAATCATCAAAGGTTTGTTTTATCGTTGTTATACTTTCTCTATCTAACTTCATTCTTTTCCATAATATCAAATAACTGTCTATGACTTATGTATGTGCCGCATTACTTACTAAATTATATCAGAGAATATTTCAATATCATCAACAAACACGTGTAGTTTACTAAACGAATAAATACATTAATAAACAATTAGTTATCATGAAATCTTTCAATATTTATCCAAGAACATGATCAGATGAAATAAATAGCGTAACCAAAACAAAACAAAAAAGAAAGAAAATTGAGAATTCTACATTTATTAAATGCATAGAAGAAGAAGAAGAAAAACGATACATTCGAATAATAAATGAATAGAGATTTCTACTGTTCAAATGGAACGCAGTCAATGATCATCTTAAAAAAAATCTGATATTTAATCTTCAAAATGTTGCATAACTTTATAAATACTTTTTTTTGATGATGAATCAAGACCTTTTTGTTGTTGTATAGCAAGAAAAAAATATATAGTTATCAGCTGATTCAAATATATTTCCAATCTTAATTGATAAAATAAAAGAACTATAATTAAAAATTTGATTTTTCTCCTTTTTTTGTAGTTTTTGCAAATATTTAGTTGGAGTCATTGTCCTAGTATTGGTTCTAAATTTAAATGTTCTGTAGCGCTTAATATATTAAATAGTCTTAGTGAAGCAAAGTACGGGTGTGGATACTGTATTCATCTGGCACCCACACCCTGGAGATATGGTCTCGCTCTCATCTTATGGAATGCAAGTACTAAAACATATTCAGCAACTGCTAGCTATGGCTGGTTTGATAATAAATGATGACAAAAACATATGTTATT